AAAAAAAAAAAAAAAAAACCACAAAAAAAAATCAAATATAAGGTCAAAGGATATTGCAGAAATAGTACAGAGGTTCCCTATACCCTTTGCCTAGTTTCCTCCAACATTTATATTTTACCTAACTATAATACAGCATCAAAATCAAGAAACTGATACTGGCACAATATGTACAGTACACAGTTCTATACTCTTTGTACAGGTTCCTGCAACTATCACCAAAATTAAGATATAAAACTATTCCACCACCACAAAGATCTCCTTTCTCTTTATAGTCACTACTCATACACTCCGTCATCTCTAATCACTGAAGCTATATCAGATTCTTGTCAAACAAATTAACAAACACTAACCTTGTATGAAGGATTGTCTATGTACTAGATATTAAGGATAGAAAAAAAACATGGTTCAAGGCCTGGTCCCACCCTCAAAGGGCTTCCCAGTTTAGAAGAGAAGACAAGTGCATAGTCATTGATAGAAGCCAGAAAATAGAACTGCTATAAAGACTCCATAGATAACCACCAATGGAAGTTCACAGAGATAGACAGCAGCCAACATTAACTGGGTAACACATGCCAGATGATTTTGCTACCACATTTAAGCCTCATGTGGATCTCCCTAAAAGAAACACCATTAACCTCATCTTACAGATATGAAAATTGAGGCTCAAAGAAATTAAGAATCTTGACTGCAATCATACTGCTAATGGGAAGCTGCCACTCTGTCCATTCTCAAATCCAAGGCATTTGTACCACAACTGAAGCCAACCTCCTATTAAACAAATACTGTGATTCATGCATGGCATGGTGACACACACTTGTAATCCCAGAACTCGGGAGGCTGAGGCAGGAGGACTGCCAAGAATTCAAGGCCTGCCTGGATACACATCCAGATCTTGTCTAAAAAAAACCCCAAACAAACAAGCCAAATAACTACTGTGACTCCACTGTGCCCAGGCACTGAAAGAAACAATTATAATAAAAATAGCTACCAGTTTTGAGCACTTGCTGTATGTGCATACCCTGCACTACTTTCCATGAATTAAACTTAATTTCCATAACTTTTTCGTTAAGTGCAATCAGATGACAATCTGCTGGGGAGAAAAACTGAGTTTGGAAAACCTAATATAGCCAAAAAGGCAGGTTCCAACCCAGGCAGGACTGACTCCAAATCTTGAGCTTTCAGCTACAAGGCACCATATGATAATAATTAGGATCAGTTCCTGTTCTCAAGGAACTTAATGTCAAGCAATGATCACTTCTCTCTGAGAGCATCAGAATGCATGGAAGAAATGGCACCGGAATTTGATCTCTAAGGATGGACAGTGTTAGACTGTCAAAGACAGGATACTGTAGGCAACGCATTAGGGCGAACAAACAACTCCAACACCTCGTGATCCAAGCAGTCTTAATTCCATGACTGTTAGGGCGTGTCTCTGAGGTCGGAAGCACCCTTGCCTCGCCTGAAGCCGAGAGCAACAGTTGGTCCACTCACCAGACTCCCGTAGAAGCTCCGCAAGCTTCCACACCAAGGAATCCCTTGCTACGGTTGTCATGGCCACGGGACGCTGGGGGCGGAGCCTGGGAAAAAGAGGAAGCGGAAGACCCTCAGGTGGGTGGTGGTGCCAAAATCCTAGAGTGTTCCCGCAAGCTGAGGCGTTTCGGGAAGAAAAAAGACAGAAGACAGAAAGAGCGTCCTCTTGCCCTCTCCAGAAACCTAAGACTGGCCAACCATACTGACCGTTGTGTCCGGCCCTCCAACCAGCTCTGCAAGCTTTCCCTTGTGATGGACAGGAAGTCCAACCCCGGAAGTAAGGAGAGTGAAAGGACGACGGGAAACACATCTTCACAGCCGAAGCCACGCCCAAGGCTCTCGGAGGAGAAGGCGGTCGGTCTGTGGTTGGAGCTCCCTGGGCTAGGACTCCACCCTCAAGCTAGGCCCTCGGCGCCCCTCGGCACCGTCTGTCTCGCACCACCTGGTCTCCTCCTTGGCCCCCCTCCCCAGCACCCCTCCCCCTGCCCTGGGCCAGCGAGGAAAGCCTGACTTGTTTGCAGACTGCACTGAGAAAAAGCAAAGTTTGGAGAATGGAATTTTCTGCTAATGAGGACAAAACTCATCCAAAGTTTTCCAGTTTTCCGAAATGGAAAACATCCATTTTCCAGTTAAAAAAGGACGTGTCCGCCGTGTGAAGGAGATTTTTGCTCTGTGAAAGAGCTGAGCCGTAACGGAGGTGCTGCCTCTAGGGTCCCTTTGACTCACTTTCCTTTGTGTCTCTAAACTCCGTTTTCCTTCAACCATAACCAGACTCTCAAATTAGCCACTGGTAACGTTCACGTGAACCTGGTCCCTTTTTTGTAGTGTTTTATCTTATCACACCCCAATCAAAAATTTCTCCTTCCCGGTTTGAAAATGAAAAAACAGGTTCCCAGAGGCTGGGTTGCTTGTGAAGGTCGTTCAGTTAATAACCGACAACTCGAAGACTGCTAAAGTTTCATGGTTCCCAGTTACGTGTGTAGCTTTTACCGGGCTCCCAGTCAACTGCTGAAGCAGATAAAGAAAAATATCAACTGAATTTCTGGTTTTCAGGAAATTTTTTTGCTTTTTTTGTTTTTTGTGGTACTGGGGATCAAAGTCAGCACCTTGGGCTTTCAAGGCAGAAGCAGTGCCCCTGAGCTAAATCCCCAGCCCTTTAAGAAATTTCTTTTCAGAAGGGACAAGGGGAAAAAAAAAGAATAGGAGAAAAAAATGGAAACAAAGCTTTTGTAAATAAGGAAGGCAAGAAGAGTTGAAGGGAGGGGGGAATGAGAAAAAAGCAAAATATATCACAGATACAAGTGTCCTCTGATAATTGTTGTCATGTCTCTCTAAAATGTATCAATAAATGTTTTCCTTCAAAAAAATTATCTTCATTCCAAGTTGCCAAATTTGAAGGATTTTGCTTTCTAAAAACAATATTTCAAATAGCTACATATGCCTACAATTTAGCATTTGCTGCTTATTATGTGTGGCCTGAGCCAAAACCCTGAAAGATGTGGAAATATATCATGAACAGCAAAGCAGTGTACTTAAAAAGCCAGAGTGGGGGCTCAATAAATTTTTATTGAGTTAGTCCCATAACTTGGTGTTTGTCAGTCCCGTTTATCAATCACCTGGAACTAGAGAGGGTGAGGGCTCCCATACTGTAACTGCCAACCCATCCTCTTGGGCGAGAAACAAGGTTCTTTTGAGATTGCTAACACTGCAATACCTGGAAATCTGTTTTCACCACCCACCACACCCCAGCCCACAGTTATTCTCTGAGAATTCCTCCATTTATAGGAGTAGCCCCTGTTGCTAGATTTGTTCTACATCCTTTTGCTTCCAGAAATGTCCAAGTGAGACAAAGAAAACTGAACTACAGAGGGCAAGAATAATAGATCTACTAAGAGAAGAAGCAACAGAAGACTATACAGTTGTTTCCTCCATGCACACCCCCCCACCTTGTGCACACACGCCCACCCCTTGTGAGGCCCACTCCCCCTTTCTGTCCTTGGCCTGCCGGGGCGCCTTGGCTGCCTTCCAAAAAAAATCTCTCACTTTTTCCTTAATCAGAATGTACTGTAAATCGCTCCCATAAGAACCTTGACTGAGGCAAAAACTTCTTTTTGAAAAAGGAAAAAGAAAATCCTGTTTTACTGTAGCAGTCAAAGTGATATGTGTACATATCAAACCTTTTGAGAAATATGTCAGAACATGATCTAAATAAGTGAGAAATTATATTCCTAGGGGGAGGATTCAGTGTTATAATGATTCAATATTATAATGATGCAATTGCAAAACTAATTTCAGTGTGTAGATTTTGTAACTTGACAAGTTGATTCTAAAATTCAGCTGGAAGACTAAACACTGGACACAGCCAAGAAACACTGAAGAAAAATAAAACAAGAGGCACTAACAGGGGCCTTGTCCTACCAGATATAAAATGTCCAATAAAGTCACAGTGACCAAAGCATTGTAATAATGACAAAAGAGATAGACAAATATTAATAGATCATAGTACAGGAGTAGCTTTGATTACATGGAAATTTTTTCCTACAAATGATAAAATTGACTTTAAATCAATTGTGTAAGTAGTGATTTGTTCAATAGTTTTGGCATAACTAGATGACCATCTGGAAAAAGCTAAACCCTTTACATCCTGCACATTAAATTCCAGAAAGATTAAAGGGCTAAACATCTTCTTAAAAAAATTAAGTCTATGCAGTCTTTCAAGTTTGAAGTTCAGATTTACTTATTAAGGGATTACCTATTAAAAAGGTGTGCAACGTCATTTTTAAAAATGTTATTAGTAAATTTACATAATTTATTACCATAATTTATTATTGTAACTGAAAGTGTTTTCTCAAAAGTATTTTGTTCAACAGTCTTCTGAGTTTTAGTCCCTGACACTAACACATGACCTAAAATCAGAAATGTGAAGCTTGTTCTTCCAAGCACCTAAACAAGACCCCTCACATAATCATGGATCTAGTGGTATTCACAAGGCACAACTCATAACCTCATGTTCCGCCTCATTACAGTAGGAGACAGCCTCTGTTGGTAGTTTCCCTGCCACCCAGAAGTTCTCTGAAATACCCTCTGCGAATACTTACAATAAAAAGGAGTACAGAAAGATGCACCAGTTACTAGCTTAGGCTGTGGACATGAGAAAGGAGAAAAAGGGTAGTCTTGAACAAGAATGACAAACTGAACTACAGCAGAACACAGACTTCAGATCCTGGTCTAAAACCTGCTTGCTTCTGATACTTTGGAGTAGGCAATGCCTAGGACTGTTGCCCACACAGGAACAGACGTCACTATTCATCTTTAGGACATGGGCTACCCTCATAACTTCCCCATTCTGATATTACAGCTTCCAACAGAAGATCAGATGACTGAAATCTAAGGATTCCTCCAAAATGAAAATTTCATACTTAGGAGTGAGAAGAGTGAAATTGGATGAACTACTTGTTCATCAACTTAATATCTTCATGGAGTGTGGAAAGGAGACAGAAGAGAATGAGTAAGTGTGAATATGACCTACACAAATAGAATATTGACAAAGAGTTTGTACTAGAGAGGAGGGCATGTGTCCAGCACCCTCAGCCCCAGGACAGAGTGGTCAAAAACAATCCTTTCTGCATGAGGTACTCCACTGTGTCTCTTGGCTCTGCTACCAGCCCAGGCCTCAAAAGACTTGCTCAGGAATTTGGCCAGCCACCAAAGTCAAACAGGCAGGACCCATCAGCAGCATTGGAGAAGGTCTGGCCTAAGAACTCTGTATTAGACTGTGACCAAGCAAGCTCACTGAAGTGTAGTTTCTGGAGAGAATGGACTGAACTCGAGGAGTAAAGAAGGAAAACAAGAAAGGCAGAAGCCAAGCTCATTGCAAAATCAGAAAAGATGGGGCCTGAAAATAGCAGACTGAAAAGGAAGCAACCCTGGGCTTGGTGGCGTGTGTCTATAATCCCAGCACTTAGGAGGCTGAGGCAAGAGGATTGCCATGAGTTTGAAGCCAGTCTGAGCTACATAGAGTTCAAGGCCAACCTCAACTAAACAGTGAGATCATGTCTCAAAAAAAAAAGAGGAGGAGGAGGAAAAAGAAAAACAAGGAAGCAACAAAATAACAACATGCCAGTAACCCAAAAGCAACTCTGGGCACCCAGTCCAAGAGGACTTTGCAGTTCAGCATAAAATAAAGGAAGGGATTCCATAAGTGGCTTTAAATTAACCCAAGGTAACCTAAGAGTGCCTTAACTTACCTCATTGAACCGGTGGAATCACCTCAGAAGGAGGTAAAGAAGGATTATGAGAACCAGGATTATGTGCTTAAAGACATAGAAAGGAAAAGGAAAGATACAGACTACATTGCCCATTCTAACTGAACTGAACAGAAGCTTGATAGGAAATATGGATAGAGGCAGCATTGGAGAAGAAAAAAAAAAAGCAGAACCTGGGAGAAGAAAATGACACGTTCAGGCATAGCCCAGAAGATCTGCTGGCAAAGTCACATACATAGGGTATGCTGCGTCTTCTATTTCGATTATCCCTGCACAGAGGGCTAGGCAGGGCCAGGCAGGGGAGAAAGCGGCAATGGAACGGCACCAGGACTGCTGTGTGCCACACGAGCCAGTGGGAAAAGGAAAAACAGCGAAGTGGGAACACAGGGCTTAGGAGCAAGGAGAGGAAGCAGGAAGGGAGGGGTTGCTTTGACTATCAGAGCCGCTGTGGAACCACAGAGTTAGAGCAGTTCTTTGGTTTGTTCAACAAATATTTTCTCAACCATAACTCTGTGCCAGATCTAGATAAATGAAGGAGACAAAGGTGTGGCTCCTTTATCAAGAAGTTGGCCTTGTAGTGGAAGAGCCGGATCCCAGCAATCACACAGCGACATTGTATTAGTTTCTTATTGCTGGTGTAACAAATTACACCAAATTTAGTTAACAGGTTTAAAGCAATTTATTATAGTTCGGAAAGTCAAAAGTCCAAAAAAGGTCTCATTAGGCTAAAAGTAAGGTGGGCAGCAAAGCAGTGTTCTTTTATGGAGGTTCCAGGAAAGAATCTGTATTTTTGTAAAGGGTGCTGGAGATGAAACTTAGGGCCTCACACATGTTAGGGAAGCACTCTACCATTTGACCTACATCCCCAGTTTGGAGAATCTGTATTCTTATCTCTTCCCAGCTTTAAATGGCTTCCTGCTTCTATAGCCTGGGGCCCCCTTCCATTTTTAAACCTGGAAATGCCTGCCTGAATCTTTCACATCATATCACACTAATACTGGCTCTTTTGCCTCCCTT